CAAGGAGCTCCTAACTGTTGACTAACACTTGCAATTGCGATTTATCTCTAGGACTTTTAAACAAGACTATGTAATGAGCATTGAGACTGCTTTATTTTGTTGAAACAAATTTTGGGTAATATAAATGACACTGGCATTGCGATGATGCTCTTTGCGCGTAAACCACAGTATAATTTCTTCTTCGTCTTCGCCTAACATGTAGTCGAAAATGACCAGATATGTTTGACTGGGGTCAGACACGATCCCGTCGTATTCTCTATGAATGCCTTCCACAAATGCAATGGAATCTTCTTGACTTTCTCGCAGGAGACTGTACGCCAATTGCTACTCTTTAAAATACCACGCGATACGCTGAGGTAGACGATCGATTAAATGATTTTTATGTTCGATCAAACGTTTGACAAATTTGGTTTTGCCTGAACCGCTCGGTCCAGCAATCAACATGTTAAAAGGATAACGAAGATACATGACCTCCCAACTAGCGCTATCTAACTTTTTGTGGATGACTTTGAAATTGTAGGAGGAGATGGCAAAAACAGCAGAGATAGCCATAGTTCAGGGAATATAATTTTGACACGACGACAGACAAGAGATTTTTAATACTTTTTAAACTTAATTTATTTCAAAATTTTAAAAATTGTATACGAAAGACAAAAAATACATAAATGTGAAATGGTTACGCACATCGATAAAAAATACATTAAAATAACTAAAGTGGAATATAAATATATCACTGTACAAAATGTTTAGTGTGATGTTTTATGGGCACTGGGTAATGTTCTTAGAGTCTCTACACCACTTGGTACAGTCTCACAGGTGTCCTCCCGGAATGGGTTTTAGTGGGTGTCTCGATGTCAATCACCGTCCTGTCCGTAATGGAGTAGTTTTCCTATGTGTCAGGTTCGTCTTATGACACTGTGGCTAACACAGGTTTAAAAGTTACAGTTTTGGCTGGATATTTGAATTTATTAACACGAATCCTAGGCATAGTCAGTCAATTCTTTTGTCCAATCCTCGAAATCAAAACTTTTCCAGTCACATGCATCTTGCCAGTGAGAGTGTAAGTTACGAGCAATACACTCGGCATTGTGACTAAACCTCAGTGACTAAAAGTTGACGAATATTTTTACGTAGAGGTAGAGAAGTATCGAGATGAAAGCGCAATGCTTTTAACAGAATGAGTCTCATGTGTACATGTAATGGTAACACCCTCATTTTTTTATTATTTTTTTTATTTTTTTTTTGCGGTAGGTACAGATCGTAAACAGCCTACAAACAAGAGGCTGGTAAACGAAATCCCAGAAAGAAAGTCATTAAGACACATACCACACGAGGTCCTCAATTTAATGAACACAGTTCTCGTAATAAGCGTTGATAATCCTCCACAGTCTGAATAGTGTCGTTGACTTACTTCCACGGTATTAGTTGTATAATAAATGTCGTCGCATGGTAACAAGTATTTATACCATCTTTTATTGAAGATAATAAATGTACTTTTTGAACAGAAGTAGTTTTATTTTAGTACCGCACCAAAATTGTTTAGTCATTTTAACTCACACACCATACGTCGCACAGAAGTTTTCTCTTGAATCTAGATTTGTTCGTGTAACAGATTGTGGTAATTCTCTAACTCTTGCTCTGGAATTCGGTGTACTATGATCACCGTGTAACTAAAATGAGTAGTATCCAAAGCTGTCTGAATCTCGTGTGATTTATTAATGTCTGACCATTGGAACACTTTGAAATGAATCATTCATCTTATACCAATCAGGTACAAGCGATTCCAACATCTGTGACATAACGGATGCAATTGTTCTTTTCGTTTCACTTGTATTTGACAAACTCTTGGCAAATGTGTTCTCTCAGCTCCTGATGTAGATTCTGAATATACTCTTATAAACTAGGCATTCACATCAATGTCTATCTTTTTCTGCGGCAATAAGTGTACTTTCTACACAGACTGGATCGTATTCCACTGGCGAATCTAAATTGTGCAGTCACTAACTTGCACATCTGGCACCGTACACGTGTTTATTCTACTGACAATATTTGTTGTTGTAAAAGATTTTTGTAACCCATAAATCGTCCTCTGAAATTAGTTGCAGTAAGTCTACCTTGTAGTAAATAGAATCAGTAGCAAACCAATCCTTCTCGTCCTTGGGTTGTTGATCAATGCGTGACTACTGGAACACTTTCATCAGAATTAGTCCTATTTCAAAATTCCGGTGAAAGTGGTTTAAACATTGGTGATGTAAAAGATACAATTGCTTTTTGCGTTTGACTTGTAGTTTGATGAATTTGCGGTAAATGCGTTCTATCAACTCCATACGCAAACTATGAATGTTATCTTGTAAAGTATCCATGAAGAGATTACTGAGGTCCCACTAAAGGTAGGTAGTGACAGTGTGAAGACCATCAAACACTATCTAGGTAAGCTGATTATTTCTGTTCCCTATGGTGAAGTGACACACTGCAATTAAAGCACTTGACTTTATCACCTTCGCCCAAGTAGCTAAATCCAGCCCTGGCTAATTCTTCGGGAGTAAGGCCACTTTCCTTGGAACGTTTGGAATCGACGTTCAAAGATGCAGTATTCAGATAAACGCACAGGGAACGAATATTCTTCTTTCATGGGTTTATTTCCATGAAGCGGTGGTAAGACATTAATTAGTTTGCTCAGGCATGGATGACAACCGTAGGGTGGTAGCTGCACAGTAGGTCAACGTTTAGGAAAAAGCCAGAAAAGTAATAAGGTGTATTGTAACGTGTGGCATCGCTTTGGCATCCATCATATTTGACATCACTTTCCACGGTAGTTGTAGTAGTAGTAGTCATTACGAAGTTCCAATGATGTCCTACTGAATTAATGAGGTCACAGCGTACAGCTCAAATCGTAAGGCATAGCATCGCACTCCAATTGCGAATCACCCAACTTAGATTCTGTCTGTATGAAAGGATTTATATTTCTTGCTTGGCAATTGTAATCACAATAAACTATCGATCTTTGACGTTTACCTTTTTATATGCTGACAAATATCCACGTGTTTGTAAGGTAAAGTGAAGTGGTTGGGAAATCACACTTGCTTCTGGGACACGATTTGATACACTTTTTCAAAGGTCGACTGACGATATCCTGCGTGGCTAAAAGTACAATGTTGTGAGGCTAGTAGGTGGTCACTTTAAATTGCTGATCCTCTCTAGAATGCGAGGTTTCTTTCAATACCACAAAGTTCACCACTTGACTGGTGCGATAGTGTAGTCAATCCTTTAAGTTTACACTCTGTGTGCACTTCTCTTTGGGAGTCACGGTATTAGTTGCCGTAATTTTTAGGACGGCCACTAGCAAAACACAGCATATTCTAATCGGAGTGCTAGTCCGCAATAATGACATTTCCAAATTCTTTGGCCTGCACAAAGTCCAGTTCTTTTTCGTAACTGACCAGGAATCCAGAAGAAGCGGGAAGGTTTTGTCAAAAACTCCGTCTTGGGCAAGTATGGTCGTTGTGCCATTTTGCCCCACAAGCAATTCAACATCACGTTGGCAAACGATCGTCGACCTTCGTTTTTCTCGATTTGATTTAAAGTGATGCCATCCTACTCAAAGTATTTATCTTTGAATTTTTTTTTTTTTTTTGGTCTTTGGGAGTGAGGCACCAGGAGGAATAGCCGCTGGCGTCTTGTTTCAGTATTTAAAAAAAAAAAAGCATCTACGTAATCTTCAAAAATGCTTTTCTGAGTCTTGTCACCCTCGTGGTACTGTTCTGACTTGGGAATGTGGTAGATTTCGTACATTTCAAATAATTGGTATCCCAGGTCCAAAGCTTTTAATAATTCCACGCTGACCCACGTTCCTGTCAAGGAGCGTTATTCCTGGGTTTACTGACAAGGTTGGTCTTGGTTGCACGTTTCGGCACAAGGGAAACATCAGTTTTCCTTGGCAGTGGTGAGGTAAAACGGGATGGTAAAAATCAGAGGGAGGGAAGGCAAGGTTTTACATTTAATCAATCCCTCGTATTGTCTAATATTTTCCACATCGATGTATTCAGTCAGCAATTGTGGGTACCATGAGGAAAAGTAACAATATCTGCACACATACTGATACAGCAAACACACATCCAAGTATTTGACTTCTTTTCATTTCTCCTCGTCAGAGTTGTACGGCAAACAATTGGCATTCATCCGTCCTCCATACAAACTGTACCACGGGTTCAGAGGATCAACCAACTTGTAACTTTCCTTGATATGCTTAAATTCACGGTGATTCACCTGTATTCCCCGATTTGGTATCTTTGCTGTTCTAACTTTAAACGTCGCTGACAAGTGGCTTGGTACAAATCTTCCATGGTATGTTGTAAAAACTGACTTTGGTTGTACCGTTGCTGGCAGGCCTATGCATCCTTACTGTAGTGTGTATCGCTTATGTCAGATAACAAAATCACAAGTGAGATGGAATATCATTCGATTGCTTAATGGCACCTGCCATTCATGCATGACCAAGACTATATCGTATCCAGGTTAACTATATGATGGCATCTCACCAAAAAAATTATTTGAAAATACATTCACTCTGAATGAAGATGATAATATTTTCACAAAGATTTTTAACCCAAAGTATTATTAAAGCAAATTATTTCTGTGCATACTATTTACTCTATAAACATCAATGAACATTTGTATCAATTATGATTACATATGGCAAACAAATAGAAGCCCAGATGATGAATAAATATAAATGGCAGTGAAATAAATGCACTGCTTATACTTACTGGCAGGATATCAGATACAAAGGTTATTTTATTACAAAGCAAGCCAATCTCAGAAACTGACTTTGGGGTCTTTTAAGTGCGCTATTATTATTTTTTTTTGCATTTTGTCGGCTGACATAAAAAAAGGAAGCCAACTCTGGTTACTTTGGATTCTTTTAAGTGGGTCAATATCTTTTTTATTTTTATTTTACAACCGAGATAGGAAAGCCAACATTGATTCCTTTTTACCTGTATGACCACTTTGGTGGCCTTGTGGTAGAGCATCCACCTCCGATGTGGGAGGTCACAGGTTCAAACCCTGGCCAAGTCATACCAAAGACTTATCAAAATAGTACTAACAGTTGCCTCACTTGGTACTCAGCATTAAGAGGTTAGTGTTATGACTGGTCTGCTTTAGGTGTCAGGATAATGTGACTGGGTGGAACATCATGCTACATGTCTGTGGCATGATGCCCCAGTGCTAAATATCACTGTAAACTGTCACACTGCAGACATCATAGCAATATGACTGAAAAATTGTTAAAGCTACATTAAAAACCTAAGTCGTACACACATTTTTACCTGTATTAATGGGAATTTTGAAAATAATTTGAAACAAAAGAACAGTTTTGAAAGTGCCACAATCTAGTTTGACATGTTAGCATATCGATGCAAGGCTGAACTATAAAATAGTTTTCATTCGTTTCATCTAAATGTTCCCTATCCATAGTTTATAGCATTTTATTTTTCGACAAGATGCATGTATTTCATCTTGTGAGGATATATATACATCATTTCCACTTGGTGTCATCTATAGGTAGGAAATCATAGTTAAGAGAAATTAACAGCATTGTATACTTCTTTCTTAAGTAATTAAATTAGTATTATTTATTCTTTGCACTTTATAATCATTTTATATTTTTGTGCTAGTATTACTATTTTTAATCATGTAATGCAAATCTGAATCAAAAACAAAAATGTTAAGAGTACGACTGGTGACCTTTAATCATCAAAGGTTGCAAAGAAATGCTGACTGTACTGTGATGTTAGTGAGTTTGAGGAACTGCTCAATCCATCAGTTACTTAAAGTGTGAACATCTGTTTTAATGCCAAATTATACCAACTGTTCTGTCAAAAAGTCAGTCATGTCAAAAGGTTATGGTATGTTATGTTATGTTATGTTATGTTATGTTATGTTATGTTATGTTATGTTATGTTATGTTATGTTATGTTATGTTATGTTATGTTATGTTATGTTGGGGCTTAACACCATTTTTCAACACACGATTGGCTATACATGGCGGTCAGTATTAATGGTGGAGGAAGAAACCGGGAAATCTGCAGTAAGAACCACCTACCCAAGAGAAGCTACTGGCAAGCTTTCTCACATATCCACATTCATCTGTGGCATCATAAGTCATTAGAGATAATAAAGGTGGTGTGACCTTGAGCCAGGGATGAGCACATTTTTTTTAACCACTAGTCCAGGAAAAGTGGTTTCAGAAAATTCACTAGTCCCACCTTACTTTTCACTGGTGCCAAAATGGTAATCACTTGCTGAGATTTGATGAAATGTATGTACATGTACTTAATCCATAAAAAAAAACAAACAACATACAACATAATTATTTCTTAAAAGAATTTAATTTTTCAAAAACATTGGTTGTTATACATTTGGCTTTTTCAGGTTCATGTATATATGTTTTAGCAGATGGATTTGAAAATATGTCCATGTACATGTCTGCCACCTGCATCAGCACCAAGCCAGCAGTTGATAGCTGTATCTCGGTTAAAGTCCTCAAGCTCTGGTCCATTTGCAGAAATGTTCATCTGGGTTAATTTCCTACCTGTGCCAGTTTTGGATATTGTTTGCAGTAACTGCAAAACATCTTTCCTTTTGAGTCAATATAGTCAAGCCAGGGATAACAATCAACCCAATGCGGCTGAAAATTTCTGTCTCTTAGTAGTGTCATATTTGACATTTTTTGCCATCATGGATTGTTGCTTATGTCTCTTTGAAGAAAAAGCTACCTCACACTCAGTGTTCGTCTTATGTTTTATCCCTCCATTATCAAACAAATTTACCTTCTCCAAATCGCCGTTATTACCTTCCTTATGAAAATAGTTTACCAAACTCATTGTATCCAGAGTATCTATCAGATTGTTTATTAACTACTTCTAAAGTGATAATATCAATTTTCACTTTTAAATACAAACTGAAATCGCTAATTAATTAGCATAATTGTTTCGTTTCGAACACTATAGCACGTGGAAGTAATTAATCTGTATAATCAATTATAAATTAATCATTACTGTCATTTATTCAGTTCATAAAGGAAACTGACACAGATTTCAGTAAAACACCTATCTTTAATTTAATTTCACTGACTTGCTGGATTAAAATCATAGTGAGTTGCTTGTTATGATCTAGATTGAGTAAACTCATTGCAAAAAAACCCCACAACATTACTAATTGATCATACTGGCTTTCTTTTGTTTGACAGGTTTTGATTTGACCACAATTTGGTTGATTAGCCCAATATGGAGTCAATTGATAACAGGATGCAAATGTATACACCAAGAGGGGCTAAAATCAAGTATTCAGTAGGCATGGAGTGCATGATTGGCCAAATAAAGGCAGATATAGTGATTAAAGCACGAAAATAAGAACTAATCCAACATTTTTAGAAAGTACTTGTCCTGGACTAGTGATTTGGAAAATTTTACTTGCCTGACTTCGAAAATGACTATTCTGGGAAATCCGGCTATGGGATTTGCTCAGCACTGCCTTGAACCATCAAAATTGCTCTCATAAGTCCCTCAGGGTGATTTAAGTTTGAGGCCAATGACCTAAAAGCAGAATAACAACCAAATTTCACTGCACACAAAGTTTAAAAAATAGCTAACAAAACACTTGTCAATACGCTTGACACCTGACAGCCATAATACATAAGCCATCCTGGGATGTACTATTAGCTGCTACATTTCTAGTTATATATCAATCACCAAAATTGATATGGAAAATGTACATACTCTAAATCATGCACAAACAATTTATGTACATACTGAAAAAAATGCACATGATTTGATACACCATCCTTGCATGTATCTTTATATTTATATTATTAATATAACTGTCTACACATAATTCCTGAGAGCTACACTTACACTGTACAGCTGTTTGACTTGCTGCTTTGCACAAATTTTACATATTACCAAAAATAAACTAATAAAAAAAATCATTATTAATATTCATAACATATGCTACTCAAGTATGTATCATCATATGCTACTCTAAATTTACACTGGAAGTGAACATTACATTGTATATTTGACATTTAAATGTTTCTAATTCTTTTGTTCTTCATCTGTCCAATCGCACAATTAATTTTTCGCCTCAATGTATTGCCATGTGCATTTTCAGATGTCCTGTCTTATGAAACATTACATTGCAAACTTGAATGGCTTGTCACCAGTATGTATCATTATGTGCACCTTCAAAGACCGACTCTCTGCAAAGCTTTTATCACAAACTTCACACTTAAATGGTTTTTCTCCTGTATGAATCCTGCTGTGATTCTTCAGATTTCCATTGTGACTAAACCTTTTATCACATACTTCACATTTATATGGTTTTTCTCCAGTATGTATCCTCATGTGCATCTGCAAACATCCACTCTGTCTAAACCTCTTATCACAAAATCCACATTTAAATGGTTTCTCTCCTGTATGTATCCTCATGTGCTTCTTCATATTGCCATTCAGACGAAACATTTCATGACAAACTTCGCATTTGTATGCTTTTTCATTCGTATGCATCCGCATGTGTATCTTCAGGCATTCGCGTCGCCCAAACCATTTACCACAAATTTCACATTTAAATGGTTTTTCTCCAGTATGTATCCTTATGTGCGCTTTCAAACTTTCACTCATTCTAAATCTTCTATCACACACTTCGCACTTGAATGGTTTTATAACATGCATTTTTAAAGTATGACTCTCTGTAGAGATTTTATCAAATATTTCACACTTTATTGGTTTTTCTCCAGTATGTACCCTCATATGATTTTTCAAATGTCCATTCTGATTAAACGTTTTATCACATACTTCACATTTAAATGGTTTTTCTCCAGTATGTATCCTCATGTGCATTTTCAAACGCTGACTCTGTCTAAATCTCATTTCACAAAATTCACATTTGAATGGCTTTTCTCCTGTATGTATCATCATGTGCACCTTTAGAGTTGCGCTGTTAGTAAACATTTTATTACAAACTTCACATTTAAATGGCTGCTCTCCAGTATGTATCCTCACGTGTATATTTAGAGACCTCCTCTGTTTAAAGCTCTTATCACATACTTCACATTTAAATGGTTTTTCTGTAGTATTCATACTCGTGTGCTTGTCTCCTCCTCCTGAGATCAAAGTAGGATTAGTCTGGTTTCCTGCGTCGTATGCTATCTGCTCGCTCTGCACGATAGTCTGATGCTACATCCTCGTTTGTTTGTATCCCCTTCCCCTTACCGATTTCAATAACTAAAAAGTTTAATGTGATAAAATGTGCACATAACTAAGTCAATTGAATCATTGATTTATAATTTATAGACTCAGTGTACTAATTCATTTCCCATAGGAAACGTATGAAAATACATTGCTATTAACATTTCAATAACTTTATATTTCAGAGTGCGCATTATACTTATCAGTATTAATGAAACCTGGATGGCGTTTTCTGTGTAGAGAAAACGGTAGAAGTAGTGGTATTTTCTGGACCTACACGTGTTTGAAACATGCGCTTTCAATTCCGTCGTCGTCGGCTCTTTCGCGCGGGGGTGTCTCGGATTCTTCCTTGATCATTTAAACTGGCCGCCATATATAGCCTATCTTATGCTGAAAAATAGCGTGAAACCCTGCAACAGCTACAAATGTCAATTCCGTACCAAAGAGTCAGGTGCTAATTTCAGCAATAAGTGCTCCAAGTTCAAGACTGTTAAAGGACACGGGTACTCGACGTGAACTTGATGTTGAGAAAAAAAAAAAAAAAAACAAATAAAAAACCCCCAGAAAAACAGTAATATAATGGGGGAAAAATCATACAGAGTGACCAAAGTACCAGAGATTATCCCCGTGAACCGTTCTGACATAGGACCCTTTCTATCAGTGAACCGTTCTGACATAGGACCCTTTCTATCACACTATATAACAGAGAATGACAATAACTTCCAAATACTTCGTTCCACCCATGACCATCGATTTACTTTTGCATATTTCTGTCTATAAAGGCACATGACCATGTTCTATGGCTTGTTTTACTCCTGAGATATTTTTCTA